TTGAATGAATGAATATACACAGGAAAGGTCTATATTTCTATATCGCCATCTAAAAAGGGGAGGGGCTCCAGAAACAAGCAGAAGAATATACAATTATAGATCTTTAGATGAGTGCAGCTACTTGTAATCCTGATGAGTCTTCAGGTGGAGTGGGGAAATTTCATGTTGAAATCTCTTCCTAGATAAAGATTACTACTTGCTGGAATGTGTATAAAGAATAAATGCAGCTAGCCATTTACTGTAATGGGCATAGGAAATCCACTGGTCTGCATCTGTGTTTACTAAATTTAAATATAAAACATAGTCAATAGCAACCTAATAAAATGCAGTGTTATGCAACACAGCTTTCACAAATATTCTTATGAGCAAAGTTCACAGTAAAAGATCATTATAGAAAATTCAGTAGACCACTGGAAAGCTCTTGAGATTAACTTCCATGTGGAAAGGCTTATTTAGCCTTTAGAAATATTAAGGCTGTAAACTTAACTGAATAAATTCTAAAGGATTGAAAATTAAAAATCTGAATTAGCTAGAAATATTTTTTCAGGGAAGCTAGACCATGAAAAACTGTTACGAATTAATGAATACCATGTTCTTCATTATGGTTTCTGCAATTGACACATTTAGGTTCTCAATTTGGAAACTTTTAGTGTTTGGGTATGAGCCCCTGTGCACGTTGTACATTCCCCTAGGCATAAATATCTCAGATTTTCTTCAGCTACCATAGCAATTTCACATTATTTCAACTTTCTAAGTTTTAGTTTTTGTAGATACTTGCATGAGATTGGTCTTGTTCATTCCACATTTCTACAAGCAGCCATGGTACTTTACTTTTGAACACCTTATGTAAATGTAATTCTTGCAGGATCAAGTATCATAGTCTCTAATTGTCATGCCTCAGAGAGGAGCACATTGTGAATTGTAAGCATGCCAGGCATTTATAGAACAGACTTATTAAAATTGCTTTTCTTACAAGCAAATGTTAAAAGGCTGCCAATTCTGAGGCAAAAGAAACATCAGCCTTGAAGATTTCAGCTCCCATTTGTCAGTCATATGTACTAATGCTGTAGAGAACCACAGATATTAGTTAGACTATTCCTTGAAATCAGTCAAGGACAGCCTCTCCAGACAAACACAATTTGGCCAATTTAGGTATCAGTTCCATTTCCTCTGATACCTGAGAGATTTAAAGCCCATTGCCCATCTAAGAGGCCTGTGACTTCCAAGGATAACTCTGGGAAGACTGAAAAGTAAAAGATGTATAGTTTAACTCCAAGAATTTCAACTCCACATGTTCCAAGTTGGTCTTTCTTTTGTGGCTGGCTGCCTACTTTGCTTCTACTGTTCAACTCACTGATTCAAGTAAAAAGAGAAGCAACTGTCTTGAGAATCTGTTTCAGAAGGGGAGATCCTCAGTCACATCTCATCATCTCATCCCTCCTCAAGTTTCTGATTCTCTTGGAGTGATCAGGTATGTAGCTTCTTACCTCATGAACAAGATTCTTCAGGGATATTTCTCTCAACCTTCTTCTCTGTCCTGCGTATGTCTCATGGTAGTTTCATTTGCCTCAGGGGAAAACTCTTGGTTTTTCTGTTACCAAAAACCATCAATTTCAGAGATTTTCTGTGTAAAGTAATTTGAATATTCTCTGTACCATTCTCTTGATCTTGAGGAGTATTGCCCAATAGATCATATGCTGCTGCACTTTCTGCCTTGTGTATAGTGCTCGCTCCGTACCTAGATACCTGTGGGTATCAACATTCAGTATGGCTTAGAACCCCTATTGCAACTTTATATCCACTACTAGTTCGCTCCCTCTCATATTTTTAGTCACATAGGGAATTATTCTTAGTAACTCATCACATTGCTACTGTGCTACTCAGGCTGAAGGCTCATCCATGGCATATGGATAGGTTCTCCTATTTTCTGTGCCTCTACCATTGTGAAGAAACTTCTATTAGGGATTTATAAGTTTCTCTAGTGCAGCAAGGATCTTGTCTGGCCAAACTTTCATGAGATGGCACTTCAGAAACTTAAGCCTCTACTTCCAAAACATTTTAGTTGTTTCTGATGCTCCAGTCATTTGTTTTTGTAATCCTCAATCTGGAAATAAAGCACCAAATTTACCATCAGAAGTGATGGTAAACAAATCAGGGCAGTAGAAAACTCAGTTCATTAGCTGATTCAGGATTCAGCAGCATCCCCAATCATCATTCTCATGCTGCCTGTTTTACCAAAGCTAGCAAAGGTTTTTTGGTTTGAAACATCTATGTTGTCTATTTCCAGATATGTGGAAAATGCTTACAGAGGACAGGAAGACAGTGACCAGTTCTTGTTTCAGCACCCATTGTCTAATTCTATTGGAGTATTAATATCTCAGCTGGGTTCATGCCATAAGCAGCAATCAGTACCTGTTGACACGGAAGGGAAGTTGGACATGTTTGGACAAACTTTAATTCTCTTGTACCCTTTTGCTTCATATGACTAATAATCCAAGATTAGAAAATATCACCATTTTCTTTTTAGTTCACCAGCTGAAATATAAATATCAAGTTATATAGGTCTTCCAGACAAAAGCAGAACACTTTTTAAGCAGGAATTTAGTGCAGCTTGTCACGCTGTGCAGTCATCCTCAAAAGTGAGATGGGCGCTTTCACTGGCCTTCTCCACATGCATGGCACAGGCCTGATTTCAGGATTAAAGTTCTGCCCTTTGAAAATGACAGTTTAATCTGCACTAAGTTCACATTTTTGGACCAGATTCAAAAACTGCACTATTGTGCGAAAATAGATACTTCAGGAACAACAGAACTTTTTAATACTGGCAGTATTCTTGGAACCACTTTGACTGTGACTATCAGTGTCCCTGATTGGCCATCAATACAATGAATCCTCCAGATAGTTCTGAGAATCATCTTTTCCACTATCCCAATTTGTTTAATAGGCTTATCTGTGTCCATCTCATAGCCCTAGGTCACAAGTTGGATTTCTGTCAGCTCACCTTTTAGACAGTCATTTAGCCTGATTTCCATTAAAATCAGTACCACCTCATTATACCAACACTCCAGTTAAAATATGATTTAACTGGTCAGTTGGGAGGGAAAGAGTATTCATTATTCCTGATTGTTAGATCAGAAAATACATCAACCATAGAACATCACTACACAAATGATATAATGGGAGTTTCATTTGTTGCATCTGGAGTTCATTCCATCAAGGCCTGCTAAATCAAAGTTTCACTGTATTGCCTTTGTTCCCTCCTTCAGTAGTACTGATAATGAGGCTCTATTAGGTTGGGAGGTTGTTGTTGAAGTCTCAGAAACTGAGGAAATTAAGAGAAACTGCTGTTAGGATCATGCAGAATATGCATTGGGGGCAGGATTCCCAGTGGGCAGGTGGTATTTAGTAGGGGATGTGGATGGGACTCTATAGCCAGCATGGAAGAGGGGAGGACAGGCAGGATATGGGGAAGTATGGCAGGAGGCGGATCATACTTGGGAAACGCAGCCCCCATGTCTTATGCCAGTGTTATGTTTCAGCCCCCTGCACCCAACCCCATTCACTGGTTGCTGGACCTCAGAGGCCCTGGCTTTCAGCTGTTGAAGAAAATGAACCTACCTGAGTTTTGGGTGTGGCACAAGTTGAAAGTCCAGGGGTGAGGGTGGGGTGGTCATGATTATCCAGGATATTCTGGTGGCGATCAGAGGACTGCCCCACAAATAATTGAATGTGAAACTCTGTTTATTAGATTGGGGTCTTAGTTGGGGCTGCTGCAATTGTACCAGCCTCCCTGTTGTGCAGTAACCTTCCTGCCTCAGCTCTTGGACTATAGCCAGACAGGTAGTGGGATGCATCTTGTGGAACCCAGCAAGTGGGCCTTTTCTTTTGCTACACGTGCCCTATGGGATACTGTTCTCCCTGAGATTAAATTGCCCCCAACCCTGCTGGCTTTTTGGAAGGCTCTTAAAACGTGGGTGTGTTCCTGGGCATGGGGGTTGGAATGTCAGAGCCTGTGATATGGTTATTATTTTCTAGATTTTATGTATTTATTTATTTCAAGATTTATAAGATAATTAAGACAACTCAAGATGACTCAACCCAACATAGATTGTGACTCTGGGCAGTGTACAACATAAACACAATAAATCAAAAAGAAGAAAAAACAAATAATTTGGTTATTTGGTTTGGCTCCTTGGCTGTTTATGTTATAAATAACATATATTATGTTGTTATATTGTTTTTAATGTTGTAAGCCACTCAGAATCGTTAGTTGTGAGATGGGCAGCTATGTAAATTTTAAAAAATTAATGAATAAAATCTCTAAGCTCTGGAAGGTTTCAAATGGAGCTTTGCATAAGTGCAAGAGTTCATACATGTGAATTAACAGATTAAAGAACCACAGTAATAGGTAACATCTTGCATATTTCAAACAATTTGTGCATAAATACAGGTACGCATATTAGTTTTGTTACTCTTATACTAGGATTAGATATAAATTGGACATTATATTAAGGACTGCTGTATAGTGTTGGGAATTGACCTAGCAAGAATTTTGAAGAAAGAGAAAAAGTTCAGAGTAGGGATAGGATAGGCTTTATGTTGTAAGGATCAGGAGTATCATTTCCATTTTTATGTCATTCATGCATCACCATAATAAAAATTGATAGGGCAAATAAGCTACCTAAATTGAAGTTCTAGACCCTAATGCTACTTTTTAAATACTTGAGAACAATACATGTATGAAAAATCATGTGAATTATGCACGTAGTACAAGTAAAGTAAAAGCATGTTTCATTATTATTTCTCAAAATTTCAAGTCACTAGTATGTAGAAAATAAGCTTTAGATGAGGCATGGGAAATGTACAGAACTTCCATTCTCCAATTCCTGCTTTATTATTTCTATACAAGCATGATAAGCTAGATGTGAGGGATAGAGAAAATCAAGGCTTTGCTGATCCATCATTAACATACATAGATAATTTAAAATTATGTGTTCTAGGATTTGTTTTCAATCAATGCATATGTTTATGCTCAAAAGCCTCAAATGGATATTCACAGTTTTGAAGGTACCTTTACACGGGTAAGTAGTTACTGTAAGTACTCATTCTTGCTGTACTCGGTGTCTTAATTATCTTAAGAAGAAAATACTTTTAAAGTTGTCTCTGAATAGTCAGAGTGTGAACGGTTAATGTAATTTGGTACCGTTCCATTATACTTTCACCTCATTGTGCATGTGAAACACTTTTCAAAGACTATGGCAACTTTAGAGATGAAAGCTATGTAGGATATGGGTTAGAAATAAATATTGAAGTGGCATTTGTTTTTTATTTCTGCAGAATCATCCATCTATTGATGGTGGTTCACAGAATAATAAAAGCTATTCAAAGAGAATATGATTTTCAGATGCATACCAGATGAGAACCCAAGTTTTACGAAAGCTACACAATACAGATCACAATCAAGTTTCAACCAGTGTCTAGCAATTGCAACATACGTTATACCACAACTGGAAGATGCATTGACATTTTTCAGATACATAAAAGAATGTTAAAAGAAAACTTGTTTATCTTAATTTGTTAAGATCAGGGAAAAGCAGGTGCTTTCATTTAGCAAGAGGCTATTTACCCAGCAGGCTTCTTTGTACCTATTGCTAGTTTAGGGAAGACATGCTCATGTAAATGGATAAGTGCAGTTTCTGATTCGCACACATGCAGATATTCTTTTAAAATGCACTGTTTATGCTTATTAGCATTTCAGGAGGAGGAGGAAAAGTAGGCTGAATTTAATCTCTTTACTTGTCCACTCCACAGCCCTGCCAAAGAAATTACTGGCTTCTGCAGACTCTTTTTTTCTCAGTACTCTTCTAGCCCAATGCTGATTCCAGAAATGAAAGTTAGGTGGGAAAATTGCAATAGAAAAAATAGTTGAGCTTCAACTAATAATTCCCTTAATTCTTTAAATAACCTGTTTTTCACTTGAATGGGGCAGATCCCATGCGTATTTACAGATTTATGTCTGCTATACTCTCATGTCATTTGAATTTCAGTGGATTTTAAATAAAATTGCATATTGCTGATAAAGAGAAATGAGTATGCTGGGAAAGAGGGACAAAATAAAAGCAAGTTTTTTCTGTCTTAGTTACCAGGTTAAGTTTCATAGATCACTTTCTAAAAGTTGCTGTGGGTAGCAATGGAATTTTAGGGTTTATCAGTCTTCTGGGTTTTTTCCCCCAGTGTTTTATTTCCAAAAGCTGATATTTTCTAATTAGGCTGGACTATACTATTGCCAGTGTAAATGTTTCTGTATTAAGTGATATATGCTTCAAAATTTGAGAGTTCAAATTCCCTCAGGATTTCAGAAGTTAATTCTCTTTACCCAGGAGAATTCATTCCCTTCGGCCCAGGTGTTTATTCAAGCTAAGCCTAGAATTTCATTGAAGAATATATTCAATTTACAAAATGTCATCTCAGTCTCAGTTCCCAAATGTATTTTTACAAACAGTAAATATGACTTGTAGATAATGTGTCTTTACTGCTTGTATACTTGCACAGAAGTCTGTTATTTAATAGCCAGAGTCTAGAAACTTTAGGAAATTCAGTTACCAGATTCCCTAATGACACTGAATGTTCCAGACTGCAAGGGAGGCTAGCCTTAAAGATGAGTTTGTTAGCATGCTTTACACAGGTCAGATTTGGAAGTAGAGGAACTAATAGATACCTATATTTGCACATACGAACAAATTCCTGATATAATTGGGTGGGTGTATACCATAGGTAAGCATACTTATAAGAGTTATTTTACAAAGCACAGGAAAAAAATAACGTTTTTTTTTTTTTAGAT